TTAATCTTTTTGATATTTCCCTGAGTAGATGGAAGGGAAAAAAACCCCAAGAATTGTCTCATGTACCTTACCTGAAGGCTCATGTAATTTTTAGAGGCCCTGCTTCATGTCCTACTCTTTCAAGAACACCACACTACTATAAAAGCGGTAGTCAGGGATATATCTGTGCCTGTCCAAAACACACTCATCTTTGGTCACAAATTTCATTTGAACCACCAGATTCCAACTGTGTTATTCTGAAATAAGTAAGTGTGCAGTGGAGCCTCTTATGTAGGTTTCTAAGACGCACCTGGCTCCATCGATTCCAGCAAATTTCACTATTTCGGTTGTCTTTAGGAAGACAGGGCAAGTGAGTACTATGTAGCAGATGGCATTCTGCTGATGCTTTTCGTTGCTTTGTTTTTCAAGCTAGCTGCTCATATTCCAATTCCTTTTCATATGCTCGTTGTTGTTTTATATTGTTTTAATTTGAACTTGTTAGCTAGCTTTGCTGCTACTTGTCACAGAAAGGGAGGGTAATATGATTTTTTAAATAAATAAATATATATAATATGTAGAAAGCATGGTTTCTCAAAAACACAACTGAAGCCAGGACATTTCCCATCCATGATCTCACTCATTCCCTATAGAAAAGAGTGTCACATAAACACGCCTCTGAACTCCAGAAAGGAGAGGTGGTCTAGTTTTGCACCTGCAGCAACCCGGGGCGATCACAGAATCAGAAGACAATGATGCTCAATTACAATTGAGATATTTGGCTGTGTATGTAGGAGCAATCAAGGATTAGTACTATAAAGTATCAGGTGCAGCCGAACACATACATTAACTCAGTTACTCTTGTTACACCTGGAAATGTAGACAAAGTCAAGAGCATTTTTGTGAGGTATGGGGATGTCTGCCTATATCCTACAGGGAAATGGTATGCTTTTTGCTGCTAGTGAATTTTATACCACCTCTTATATAATTCCCTCTATTTCTGATGTTCAGACATAAGTGTCAGGAGGCTTGGGGTTTTGCAGTTGCAGAAAATAATTGCTAGAGAAAAAGAAACCTAAAGGGGAACGGTCAAATCATACCAATGAAAACTGTGCATGCTCAGTAGCCCCAGAATGGTGACCAACCATTGGGCAGAACAAAACAGAAAACTGGAGAGATGCAATGAAGTATCATGGAGAAAAGTATGGCTGGCTGGAAAAGTGAACAGGAGCAGACAACAACATTTTGTTGCAGATCTTGTGAATTCATGTAAGGAAACAGTGCTTCCTATTATAGTGGCAAACTGAGCAAATGGTATTGGCAGCATGAACACAGGTGCCTTTTTTGTTGTTGTTAGTGTTTTTGTACACAGTTTCAGAGGAATGTTTTAGAAATGCTATAGTACCACTTAAATAGTAATCACCCTATTTTTATCCATTATTTCATTTACATGTTGCCTTTCCTCTGAAGAGTTCAGTGCTGCCTACATACCTTTCCTGCCTCCCATTTTATCCTCATAGCAACCCTGTGAGGTAGATTAGTTTGAGACATAGTGACTGGTCCAAGCCATCCACTAGGGGATCTGAAGCTGGGTTCCTGAAGCCACCAAACTACAGTAATGGTTTCTCTCTATCATCACCCTGGTTCAAATGCTGCAGGTGCTGTCTGGCCTAAGTCCTAGTCCGACTTTCTTACCACTGCCTCACACTGGTTTTCAGAATAGGAAGCTGCTACTGCAATAATCAGTAATTATGCCCCTGGCAGGCTCTCAATCCTACCCACTTCTGGGAGTCAACACTATGACAAGTGCAGAATGTTTGTGTTTAAATTCTCATTATACCCTCCCACTACTGGAGGTGTAAGCCTCCCATGAACCAGAGTGGTTAAAGTTATTGCTAATAACAATTGATGTGTTGTTTTTAGTGTCTATGCAAAGAAGCACAAGTCAGCAACACTGCCAGCATTCTAAGTTTTGTTTAAAAAAAATTCTCCTGTGCATGAGGATTTGACCCCTAGAGCCACAACAGCTGAACTTGACCTCCCTCTCAATTCCACCTAGAAATTATTTTGTGATATTTTGTGAGAATTCTGATTTGGTGTTAGTCACTGAATATTTAATATGCAATGTCAGCATTTGACATCCAACAATATATCATACTTTGATTTCATTAATTCATACTTCACAGTATGGGACTGTATTTATTACGATTCCGGTTACTATTATTTTATTCATTTATATCTCACCTTTTCCTCTGATGAGACTCAAACTTTAAAATACAATTAAACATTGATATAATTATTTGAATAGTTTCCATGCAATGGTGTTTAGCATTTTACAGCTGTTGTTTGTATGGAAGAGTAGACTGCATATCAACTTACTAAAAAGGGCGCAATGAAACCAGTCCATAGCAATGACATTATAAACAAAGCTGGCACTATAGCAGGATAACAACATAATATGGAACTTTGATTTCACACATTAAATAGAACCATTTTTACTTCCTTGTCTAAACTCTAAAGAACTTTGATACTTTAAGAGGGTTTGGTCTGGAGACCTTTCTTAAGTCTAATACGTCTAATACGAGTGACTTCAGAGGTATCCTATTATTATTATTATTATTATTATTATTATTATTATTATTATTCCCCTTTGGCTGGCTTACAATATATCTAAAAACATAATAATAAACATAATAAAAACAATCCATCCTTAGAAACTTTCCTAAACAGGGCTGCCACATACTTTAGGCAGTCTTGGAGGGAGCCAGAGCTAAGTTATAGACATGGGTTATTCTGGGATTTTTCAAGAAGTATTAAGAGAGAAAAGGATCACACCTTGCCATCTTATAACAATGACCTACATATCTGTAATTAAGTGGAAGGGCTTCAGGGTCAAGGCATATGATCTGCAGGCCCTCAAACATAGCACTATTCTTCCTAAAATGTAACCACAGCTTTTGAATAGATGAGGATGGGTGGTACTTTGACACACAGTCAGGAATGATCTCATACTACAGCTAAGCCCCAAGATGTCAAGGTTACACAAGCCCCAGCTCATTCAGTGGCATCTACTCATGAGAAAATGAACTTACTTAAAGCATAACTTCTCAGATATAACCTATGGAAATCTATGGAACTACATATTACAAGCTGAAAATGAATATTTACATATGTACTTGGGAGGATTTCCCCCCTGTGTGCTTTAAAAAATATTGATTAATTGATTACACCTGCCTTTTTCTTGAAAGGTAATACTTTTTAAAGTATTGCTTCCTGACCGTATTATGAAGGCTGTGATCCTGTATTTGTTAACCTGTGTGTAAGCTCTGTTGAACTGAACAGGATTTTATTCTGAGCCGACATGCATAGGCTTGCATGGATAAAGCAGCTGTGTTTAGGCCACACTATACAGCGAGAAAAAAGATGCTGGTTTTGTGTATGTGATTTGGGTCCTTTAAGATTGCCTCCACTCCTTAGCTGAAAGGGTGGGATACGCTGCAAATAGGTGGTACTTATAGGTTTTAAAGTTAAATAAAATTACTGTACGACTTCCATTTCAGAGAAGGTTTCAGCGGGTAATTATAGCAGAGTTAATGCACTATACTTTGTTTTTTAAAAATACATCCCACTGCAGAACATTAAAAAAAAAATTAGGTGAGCGTATAGCTTAACAAGGAAATAAAGCATAATTTTGGAGGAGGAGGTGGAGAGTAAAATTGTAACACCCATGGCAACGAGATGCATAAAAATGAATGAGTGTTTCCTTAGTATTATCGCCACCTCCAGCTCAATTTCCTTTTTCTCTGGCTATATTCGAGGCTTGCAAACTGAAGCCATTTAACAAACGAGTAAGTCTCCGGGAAGCCAACGAGTTTATAATCGCTGCCCACTTATCATTTGATGTCATACTGACATACGTGTCCTAATGATAACTGAGATGTTAATTCAGGAGGCTGACCTCTAGCCTTCGACCAGTTGTTTCTTCCGATTGTCTGTAAAGCCAGAGTCCTGGTTAACCCTTCAGGTGGCCTCTAGGCGGAGCTGTTTCGTCAAATACATATCTGGGTTTTTTAAGAATTAAAATGAATTAATTTTTTTTACAGAGACGTGGTTCAGTTATACGTTGCTCTATCATTTCATTCCCATCAGTCGCATGAACTGGATATAAGAATTTAAACTATTTTAAGGGGGAGGAAAAGGAAAGGGAATGTTCTTTACGCATGAAAAAGTAGTACTGTACTGTACTGGTAGTAAAACAGGGATTGCCCCATCTTTTTATTACTGTATAAGGTATTTGAAACGGTGCTACGAATATTGTTTTAAAAACCAGAGGAGGGTGAGTGGATGGATCAAACCACTGACGAGTGTGGGGTGTGTGTGGATGCTGGGTTTTATTTCAAGTGCCTAGGATCCGGGTGTGAAAGAGCAATCTTATACCTGTCGACTCAGAAATAAGACTCACGGAGGTAAAAAAATAATAATACAGTATTAAGTATGTATGAGATTGCAACCTAGTCATTTTTATCTAAACTCCCTGTTTTTATACTTGGAGCCTTTTCTTGTGCCTCTTTCGAGCTGAATTGGGAGAGTGTTGTTTTTACTTACAAAATTCCTGTTAACCCCCCCTAGATCATGCAGGAGAACAAAACGCGATTCAAAATTAAACGCCAGTGAGAAAGAGGCGGGGAAGGGGAACATATTTTGGGAGAGTGACTTGGGACAATAGAAATCTCTTTCAAAATTGTTCATCAGAATCAACTGCAAGGCTAATTCAGCTCCCTAATAAAAAACGAAGAGGAAAAATACTGAATTGCTCTTTTCAAAAGCAGCCTCTGAGAAGTCAGCGTATTCCAAGTACAATAACTGTTTTTCTGGTTCAGACCTAATTTGGCACACTGTCGCCAGCAGCGACCAGCCACAAGATATGGCAAGGCAGACATTAAATTTAAACTAAGCAAGTTTGTAGTTCTGTTCCATTTATTAACGGGAATGTATTCTCTTCCTTCGCCCCATTGTTACTCCAGAGCCGCCACCCCCGCTCCACCGCCGAAACCGAGCTGACTTCTGCGCATAGGAATGCTCTGGCAGGCTCAAATTCTATGCCCGATTACATGGAAGAAAGACCCATTCCAAGGCAGCCTGACTTCTGAGTAAAAATGCGCAGGACTGTGAGACTACAATTCTATGTAAGCCCCCCTGAATACACACCTCACTTGGAATGAAGTATTTCAGCTGACATCCATTTTAAAGTAAATGTATTTTTTTAGGTTGGGATCAGGGTGCCCAAATAGAAAGAAAGCAAGATTAGGAATTTGGCTAAATCGGTAATATGAACCCTACTTACAAGTAAGCCCTGTTGAGTTCAGTGAAGCTGGCTCCCAGGTAAGTGCACGTGCATAGGATTGCACTGTGAAAATAGATAGCATTGCTTAGGAAGATGTGATGGAGACAAGGGAATTATCATAATGTTTTATCGATGATTGATAATGCGCCACGGTTGTTCCTGGAGCTGTACTTCACTAAGGGCAACGCTAAGTATTACCTTCCGAAAAGTCTGACGAATGTAGCATTTTAGAGAAGACTGCAAGGGCAGGAAGCTGTGGTTGTGCATGGCTAGGAAACGCAGCCCGCCACACCGATGCCCATGTGAGCATCATGCGCATCCAAGCTCTTTGAAAAACCATTCTGATCTCAAATAAAGAAATTGAACTCTTCCACTGAGGACCAAGGATGTCAGAAGGGCTTCGTTTTGCCTGGATCACGCCTGAAAGTTGCAGTCCCATAATAAGTGTGTTCAGGTAAATCCAACTGAACTCTTATTATTGGGAAAATATTCATAGGATTAGATTTTCATAGTACAACCGGTATTCAGTTGGCGGGTCGCGACTTCTGCGTCCCAGCTTGACCTACTAAACGGGGTTGGAACAACACCATTACCACAAAGGAAATACACGGTTAACATAATTTAAAATAAATAAAGAAGGCGGCTTCCAAATACCTGCTTGGGCCAAATGTGGATATCAGTTCTGAAAAGATTAAGAACTCTGACCCAAAGGTCATGTAAAGTTAAGGTCTTTTAAACATGCAGTTATTTATTTATTTATTTATTTATTTATTTTAAAAAGCATGATTGCGTTAGATTACAGCTATGCAAACGTTGAAGCCTGTTATTACTCCTGCTTATAGGAGTCATTAGACACTAGATCATAAACTATACTCCTCTTCGAACGGGAATAATGCTTTCCCGTCAGCTGCTATAAATGCTCAAAACAGAACTTTTAGCCGATCGATCCAAGAAAAGATTTCATTCAACACGTGTCAAGGTTTTGCAAAGACCAGCCCTTTAAAGCAGAGGAAATTGGTATACTTCAACCAAAGTTCACGGCGGTGCTGCGTCTCTTGGGGTTTGGTTTTGTTTTTTAAAACTACCCTCTTAAATTGGTTTCCGCATATGCTTCGGAGTTAGTGATTCGAGCAATTAAGCCTTTCTTTAATTAGCACGAGTGGGGCTGTTTGGATTTTTTCTTGAGCAAAATGGTTAAGGGCAAAACCTTATCTTTAAAAAAGAAACGTCATTTAACAGCAGGTAGAGAATAAGCAAGATCGCTTCTTCGAATGTCCCACCCCCCTCCATTTGCCATAAATTGGCGAAACGTTTTCTAGAGACTCGTTGGACGAAGCCAATGAGCTCTCCATATGTACGGGCGCATTTTAAACTTTTCTAAATTGGATTTTTATTTTTTTAAAGGAAAAGAAAGGATGGCTGAGTCACAAATAGCTTCGAGGAGCCTTAGCGGAAGAACTTATTTCCAGTCTGTTTAGGTCTCCAGAGGACTTATTTTCCGAGGGTTTTTTTGTTTTGTTTTTCGCCAACGGAGCAGAACCGCAGTGCATTCTAAGGTTATTTCAGGTTTGTTAATGTTCGCAATAATACCGGTGAGTAAAGATCTTCGTTTGGAGATGCCCACAAGGGAAGACATTTTCTAAGAAACGAACAAGTTTAAATCCTGCAGATTCGAGGTCGGGGAACACATTACGATTCCTCTTAGCTGACACACAAACCTGGGTGATGTACATTAGTAATGAACAGCAAACTTACACGTTTCTCCTCATGGGGAGTAAATTGAGGGGGGGCGTATTCTTGGATTCAGTCAAGATCAAAGGTTGTTGGCGTCATTAACGACAGCCTCTAGCGCAGGAGGTTTTGTAAAACGCGGGTCATTTCAGTCACTTGAAAGGCTTTTCATTTGAAGCTTTCCTTTTAAACAATGCAAGAGCACGATCCGGCCAAAAAGTTAAGCATTAAGAGAGAGAGAGAGAGAGAGATTTCGAGAGGAGAATTAAGCCTGGAGCTTAAATCGCCCTCGAGGTAATTCCCTGAACTCACAGGTGTCTAACTTGGGCAGGCGAGTCCTCCAGGTTTTCAGCTTCTGAAATGCCCCTTTATATTCTCAGATGTGGTAGCTGTTGCTTTTCAATCGCTTACAATCTATCTTGCTTTCCCCCCACCACTTCTCTTTATTTCTTTGGTCATGTTTACGGGAGAAAAAGCGGGTTGGGAAAGCAGACCCCGCTGGAAGAAAGGGCCTAAGCGAAGGAGCGGAAAGAGAAATCTAAACCAAAGCAAACGGACCGTAGGTATGATGCAATTTTGTTTCTTCCCCTCGCCCTAGAATAACCCTCCGTCTTCTATCCTGCCTGCTCCTATCTCACGTTCTTTCTCTTTGCCTGCAATCTCTGGCTTTATGGAGCCAAGAAGAGAAAGGTTTCGTGTAGACCGATTCAAGGCATGTTTATTCTAATTAAAAACAAACAGACAAATCGCCCCCTATATCCAATGATGCTTAATTCCAAGTTGAGTGTGAATAGGATTGCAGCTCAACTCTTTCCTAGAGAGCGTGTGCCTCGCCTCTTTTTCTCCGAAGCTAAAGGGATCTTATTCATCCACTTTAATTCACACATTTCCCTCTTCTCAATCCCCTATTTCTTCCGCCTGTGTAACTTCCGACTGGAGAAGCAAGCTGGACCTAAATTAGACTGCAATCCTATACACGCTTACCTGGGAGTTACTGCCATTGAACAGAGTGAGACTTATTTTAGAGATCATGGGCATAGGGCCTTGCTGTAAAAAAAAATAAAAAAAAATAGATCCTGTCCAATACGCTAAGAATCGGGCTGTCGGGGTTCCCAGGCAAAAATAAGCAATGTACTGGCTTGTTCCGTTGCAATATCCCTGTGGATTTAAGGCTAAGAGACGGATTTGCATGTCAACGGATAGGGCAGGAGATAATAGGAAGAAATTAGGCACGTAAATCTTTAGCAACCAATTCTTTATATGGAAAGCCCTTAGTAAACTGAGTCTGTAAGGTATAGATAGATAGATAGATAGATAGATAGATAGATAGAAGCATGAAGGAAAGATGTTAAAAAAGAGAGAGGAAATGCTTTGCATTCCCACTACTTCAAAACAGCCTCTCTATATATAAACACACACACCCCTTGCAAGGAAAGAGATAGTACGTCCCAAATGCAATTCCAAGTTAACGCTTTCTTATTGGCTCTACTTGTGCAGGAAAATTCCATTTAATGGCGCCCAGGAGCGGGAGAAATGTCTCCCTCTCAATCGCGCGTGCACCAATTAGGAATTCTCTTTGATGTAGGACTGCTCCATTCCGACGTCGGCGTACACTTGGGCCTTGGGCGATCGCGGCGCCCCTCCACGGGAAGGTCGTCCTTCACTTGAGCTTGGGAAGGATCAATGCCTTTCCCTTGGTCGCTTGGTTTTCCATTTGACCTCAGCCACGGGTAGGAAAGCAACTTATTAAGTGACAGCTTATTCCCACCCCCCTTCTTTAATATTTCAGAATAATCCCGGTTTTTGTCATTATAATAGTTCTGCTACTTAAAGAATAAGAGGCGTGCTGGGTTGACGTGCCGTACCTTTCCTTTATTAATTTCGAAACGTATTTTAGTGTCTGTTCAGGCCTTCCTTCTCCCTGAAAGACTGTTCCCTTATAGCGAGGGGAGAGAAAGAAATCTCAGCGCCACAATTTTCCTTTAAAGTTAGGAGCAACGTGGCGATTTAAAAAGAACATCATGGCTGGAAAGGGGCTGTTTGGGGAGGCACAGACGCGTAAAGACGCACAGGTGCTCCGTATCCCCCAACAAGTGCAAAACTACCATGCTCCTAACCGGATTGCTCCAAGGCATTAGGGCTGAGCTTGCGCAGGAGAACTCCCCACCCCGCCTTCCGCGCTAGGGCCTTTGTGATTCGCTCATTAGCAATACAGCTATGTTGTTGTCGTTTTTAAAAGCATACCCTGCAATCCGGCGCTGGGTTTTTAAATCAAACTTGGGATGCCACCACGAATTCGGTTGCTGTTCTTTTCTGTCGCAGCTGACTGTCGTGACCCTTCTCTCCACCCCCGCTCCCCAATTCTTTAAAGTTCCCGCAACTAATTCTTAATCCCATCTCACTCCTATCAGCGTAATCACGCCACAACTTTTTGGGATTCAGTTGACCTATGTGTGAATTCTTTAACTCCCTAACGTTGAGGTCCAGGTGCACAACGCCACCTTCCCCCTCCAACCACTTGTTACAATCCGATGGGATTTAACTCGAACCAGAAAAAAATTTCCCCCAGCGCATTCGTTTCCTTTCATTTTCCCTCCCTCCCCATACATCCTTCTCTTTCTTTTAAATTTAATGATTCTGATTTTAACAGGATCGAGGCATAAGAGGAATATTTTAAAATACTGCATTATTATTATTATTATTATTATTATTATTTGCTTAGGACAACACTTTCCAAGATTTTGTCATGCTTCCCTCTCCCAAATAATAGCCCTCTGCTTTCTCCTCCCCGCCAACCTCAGCGCAATTGACCCACCTGGTGAAGTTTTGTCTCTTTTAGATAGATCTAAAGACGAAGCTTTCTGCAATAAAATTTTCTCCTCCGCTTCCTCCTCTGCTTCACCTTTGCTCTCCCCTGGTCCATAGTTAGGTTTCAGTAGGATAGACACCTCGTACTCTCTTTTGTCCACGAAGGCAGGAGGAGAAGGTGAAGGACTCCCGCGGTGTAGAGTCCCGTTGGCGGCGGCGGCGGCGGCGGCGGCGGCGGAAGTTAATTCTTCGCAAGGTGACGGCGAAGGAAAGATGCCCAAAGACGGCTGTGGAAGGGAATTGGCCGCGAAGGCTGGCTGCGGAGGACCGCCTTGGCGGACGGAGAAAGCCGGTTCTTTCATCCCCAGCCCGGGGAGAGGAGGAACTTCTGGCTGGAGAGGGGTCGGAGGAAATTTCTCGGCCTCAAATTCCAAGCAAGAGGATTCCTGGTCTTTTCTCCTCGAAGCGTACAAGCAAGACGAGCTGATCTTCGGAGGGAGGAACTCATGGTGGGGATGGTGACCCCTCCAACCTGGATGGTGGGAAGGAGGTGGAAGGAACCGCAGTCCGGACTGGTGGCTGTTCATGCCTCTTCCCCCATAGAACCACTGTCCACTGCCCCCTCCTCGCCTCAAGCCAACCCAAATTGCAGTGTGAGGCTTTGGCAAGGAGAGTGTATATATGGGGTTCTGAAACCCACCTATTATCCTATAGGGTGTGCGGGTTTACAGGAAAGTTGCGAAGATAACACCCTCCAGGCAGGAGCTTGTCGGAAAAAAAATGATGGAATATACCGAGCCACTGTGTGTGCGTGTGCGAGAGAGAGGGAATGTTTAAGGGAAAAGGTCTCGAGCAATGGACTTATCTGTTAGAAAATGCGTCCGCCGAGCCACTTCCGGCGGGCTAGCCAATCCCAGATGGACATGGCTTCTACGGACATCCCCTGGTGTCAATTTTAATGGCAAACTTTACTGGTTTGCGGAGGGACTCATCTTTTTTTTTTAAAGGAACGAAAGAAAATCTTCGGCGCAGACATCTGTAGCTACAAATCCATTCACTTCACGCCACTCCCTCCTCCCCCACCCACTCCTCCGAAATAAAATCCGTCTGCGACAAAGGGGAGATGAGAATTGGAAAGCCCTTTGAACCCTGAAAAAGCAAACGATCATAATAATGCTAATGATTTGTGCGCATCTGCGGGTTTACAGTCTTCTTGCTTGTGCCTCTTTGCAGTGTCTTGCTCACTGCTGCGCCTGAGAAAAGGCCGGATTTATTTTTATTTTTTACAATATTTGGGAGAAGAGTCTAGCTGGAATCGCTGGGCCCGCTCTGCCTGCATACTTGAAGAACTTAGGGCACGTCAAGCTCATGCACAAATACACCAAATCGCTGCTTTTAACTAACGATAAACCGGCACCCCCGGCTAAAATATTGGCTTGCAATAAACTATGTTCCCTGGAAATTGAAGAAGGCAGATGAGCCACTTTCTTATAATGTACTACGCTATATGGCTATATTCATATATAAACAAGACAATATATACGAATGCAGTAGGTCATCAGGCGTGAAACACTGTGGGTGTGAGTGTGCATGTTTGCAGCCAGTTAGATCTAAATTCCTCCCATACATATTGTAAAGACTACATATTGTTGTATGGTTTTGTGTTTTTTAAAATAAAGGCAGTCGCCCAGTTCTATCACTCAAATCTCCCACGATCTTGAGAAGCAGAGCTGTTCTTTCAGAGAAGAGGAGACCCACATCCTTGGACCAGGACTTGATACTTTCAATGATGACGTTACACCTTGTCCTAAGGTGATGTACGTACATGGTTCTCCTCCTCCCCATTTCATCCTCACAACAACGCTGTGAGGTAGGTTAGGCTGAGAGATGGCGACTGGAGGAAGGTCACCCAGTGAACTTCACGGCTGCGTGGGGGAGTCGAACTCTGGACTCCCAGATCATAGTCCAACGCTCTAACCATCACACCACAGTTGACTTCAGCTGATTTCTGGTTAATGCTCTTTTTAAATTAGCCCGCCTCTTACTCCTAATGGGTGTATCGGGGAGGATTCAAGTTGCCCTCTAGAGACAAAGCCGTGAAATAGATATGTGTGCGTGTATTTGTAGATATATATTTATATATCTCACTGTCTTGTCTCCAGAGGGCTTTTATAATTATCCTCCCAGCACGGCTTAGCTATGTACCGTTTAATTAAGGCGGTGCCTGCTCCAGCCTCCCGTTTCTCCTGAGCAAAAGTCTCAGCTAAATCACCATATCTCCCCCACCACTAACCTTTTATTTCATTTTAGGACCTAACAGAAGAGTTCTGTGCAGCAGGAAAGTTTTGTAGTCTCTCCCACGCACCAGCCATGGTAAAACATCCAAACAACGGTTTAAACATAGACATAGACGGATTTGTACATATGTGGGTGATTGCTATATATATAAAATAGATGCGCGCAAGGGTCTCGTTCATGTTTAATGGGGTTGAGGGAGGAGACCCTCCTGATGGGTTCGGGAGAGATCTACACTCTTTCTAAGCGCATGTTTCAGCATGATTTGGAGTGCAGGAGGTTTGGGACCTTTATAAAGCCTTTATTACTAAATATGCACAAACTATGCACAACGCAATTAGGAACGCCAGGAATAAGAAAGCCTTTGGAAAGTTTTGGCCCAAGTCGGGCAAGAGCAATTAAGGAGCTCTGACTGGTTTCCCCTTCTTATTGTCTGCGGCTTGAGAAAACGACTGTTCCATCTTGCAGATGTTACTGTTGGAAGAGGTCCCGAACTTCCCTACAGAACTTTCTATCGCCCGCATCCGGAACAATAACAACTGAATCCTAAGTAAACTTTCTGCTGAAGCAAGTTCCACGGAGGTCAGAGAGACTTATATTTACCAAAACGGGTAGAATATGGCCAAAGGGTATTACCCTAGGTCCGAGGAACACTGGAATGAATTGAATTGCGCTTGAAATGCTTAGAAGCTGTCAATATTATCCTAGCGGACTAAGACTAAAAAGGATGGAATTCCACAGCAACAAGTCCCCCCAAAAGAACCCCCAAAGAAGTGGGCGGGAGTGAGGGAGACACGCATTGATTTCTAGTGCCCGGCCTTACCATTAGATAAGAGTGAGGATGTAGAAGGTATTTAACTTATTGTAACAGGTTTTTTCTGCAGCGGCAGCGTTTGCATTTTCGTTTCAGGCACCAAAATACTACGGGCCAGCCCTATAATTCTGAACACGTTCTTCTCGACATTTTTGACATTTTCTCTTGAGGTTTGTTGTTGATTTGACCTCGACTCAAGGCTGAAGTTGGATAGGAAACCGTGGGCAAGACTTGCCGCTGTCTGTGCACAGGCCTGTGGAAAATTGTCCTGCGAAACTGCAATGGAAAAGAATGAGCGGGCTGTACTTTGGCGCAGGAGACCTTCTCTCCAGATTGTGCCCATTGACTTGACCTCGACTGAGCATGGCCGCTGAGTGTTTCTGGCCATCGCTTTTGAAGGCCAAAGTGCTAAATTCACTAACACTGCAATCCTATACACACCAACTCAGAAATAAGTCTCATTGAGTTCAATGGGACATTCTCAGAAAAGTCTGTAGAGAGGATTGCAACTTGACTAGGGAATAAGTTCCACAGAGCTCAGATAGATTCTCAGCGTATAATTCCACTGCACAACCCATTAAAAGGTGATCGTGGCGCATATTTGAGAGTGGTCATGTTGAAATCATAAGAGATCTTACGACTGGCGAGAAAAGTATCCTGTTAGAGGTCACAGTCATAGCTACTACCAACACAATGGGAAACTTCGAAGACTAATTCAGAATAGGCTTTATTATCTCCCCTACTTTTTTAACCCCTACACCATTTTTAGGGACAAAGAGCCTTTTAAGCTTCACTTCTCCCGAAGGGAAGTTAACTTTATAAATTCTACCTTCCCACATCAATTTTATCATATCCAAGCGGTGTGTGTAACTCATTTCTCCGCGAATTTAGTAGCCAAATTCCCATCGATCTGAATGGAAAATGGGTTTGGAACAGTCCACCTCAATCCTAGTTTACAATGGGGTCTACTTCACTGCCAAGGCACATGGACTTGGGATATAATCTTTACTTTCAAATATAAATTAAGCTTGATGACCTTTGGGGGGGGACCCTGGGCTGCGATCCTTTCTCCACGCAATGGGGCTTGCCTCTGAGTAGACAGGTTTGTGCGGTAAGCGTCTCAGACAAAGACCCTTTAGTTCCTTCCAGCTGCGGACGAAAGCGAATGCACTCGAAGAGCACTCTTCCGCAGAAGCTGGGGTAGAGAAAGGGTAACTAACTACACACAACCCCCTGGCAGTTCTCCTGCGCAACCCTTGCTGAAATGAAAGGTGTGCTGCGCAAGAGCTCTGCCGCGCTCGTTTTGCTCGAAAGGATTTGCGGAGGGGATCTTCTCTGCGGATGGTGCCCAAAGGGCGAAATTACAGAAGGGTGACCCAGCCAGGGCGCGCGGTACCCCTAGATTCTACAGCAGCCCAATGGAACAAGCATAGTTACACCCCGAACTTAACCATGTTAGCTTACCCTAGGTGCTAAGAGGGGGTGCAGACTTTCGGTCCAGCCCTTGCTAAGACGCCTCGGAAATACGCACACCGAGTTAATCAGGAGGACTTAACTCCTGCTAAACATAGTGAGGAAGGGGTTACCGGTTACCGAAGACTGCGGCCCTAAATTGGAAGACTATCCCATGGATTTCGTGGCAAGTTTTTCTCCAAACAAACAGGTTTCCGACTGAGATGCAGTCTGCAATCCTAAACACAATTACAAGGGAGAGACCTACCGAAGGCAGCGGGGCCTGCTTCCGAGTCAACATGCGCAGGATTTTGCTGCCTGTATACTTTGAGCTCAGAAACACACCAACCACATATAAGTTTAAATCTCTTTCTTTTTCCTTATTCTTCATCCCATCAGTTTGCGCCTTTGTCTACTTTCCCCACGCTCACTTGGGCATTATTTACTTCGCATGGCCCTTCTTACAATCACTTCTCAAACTAAGACCTTGGGGATGAAAAAGTACCGGATTGAGCACTGATCTGTTTACATTAAGCCCCGATCCACACCGGATGAAGGCTTATCTTGCTCCCCTCACAACCCTCAATGCATGCGTCCTTTGAAGATATTCTGGAGCCGACTATTCTTTCTCTCTTGGTACCTTATGGATGCTACCCTACACTGCACACACTTACCTGCGAGTAAGTCCCAC